AAATAACCGACCGGGCCGCCGCATGCAAACGGTCGAGCAATCACCGATCGTATATACATTAAACCTTCCCGCTCACAGGCGGTTAATAAATATTTACAATAATAAATTTAATTACAAATGACGACCGGGACCAACTCGTAGGTCGAGCCCCCACTTCGTCCAAAGATTACAAAAAATAGGCTAGTGCATAAACATAACGAGGTTCTCAGAATTCCAAGTCCCCTCGATTATCCGACCGGTTGTCGTCTCCAGTCGGTATGTACCCGGCCGTATGATAGCGCTGATGATGTACGGCCCTTCCCAGTTTTGAGCTAGCTTTCCGCCTTCCAAAGGCTGACTGGCCTCCCTTCGTCGTAGAACGTAATCTCCCATCTGGAAATAACGAGGGTTGACCCGAACATCCTTCGAACTCTTGACCCGCTTCTGATACTCGGTCATACGCCGAGCGGCTAGCTCTCTTTTTTCCTCGACCCCGTCGAGATCCACGACCATCGCATGTTCGTTCTCCTCCGCATTGTAGGTTCTTTCTCGATCGGTCGGGATCCAGGCCTCGATCGGGAGTCAGGCTTCTGCTCCATAAACCAGGGCGAAAGGGGTCTCCAAAGTAGCTTCCCTCGGGGTCGTCCGATAAGTCCACAACACATATGGCAACTCATCGGCCCAACTACGACCAGCCGAGTGTAGCTTCTTTTTTAAACCTTCCAAAATTGTCCGGTTAGCATTCTCCACTTGTCCGTTTCCCTGCGGGTAAGCCACCGACGACCGGACGTGGGTCGTCCCGATCGTGGCCAAGAAGCTTTGGAAATACTGGCTTACGAATTGGCGGCCGTTTTCGCTGATGAGATGCACGGGCACACCAAAGCGGGAAATCACATTGCGCCAAAGGAACCGAGCACACTGTTGAGATGTGATCGTGGCTAAGGGCTCGGCTTCTATCCACTTGGAAAAGTAATCGATGGCGACAATCACGAACTTTCTCCGACCGGAGAGCTGAGGGAAGGGGCCCAAGATGTCTACCCCCCACCTAGCGAAGGGAATTGCAGTCGTGACCGGCTGATAGAAAGTTGCCGGTCGTCCAGGCATCCGGGCAAACAGTTGGCACGTCTCACATTCTCGAGCTAACTTTTCACAATCTAGCTGAAGGGACGGCCAATAGTACCCGATCAGCATGATACGACGGGCTAACGATCGGCCTCCTTGATGTGAAGAGCAAATTCCCGAATGCAATTCCTTCATGACCAGATCGGCCTCAAATGCGGTCAAGAAACGCATAAGAGGACCTCCGTACGATCGCCTGTAGAGACAACCGTCTAAGACTTGGAACCTCGGGGCTCTAAGTTTGGCCTTTCGAGCACGCTGGGGGTCGTCTGGGAGTCGACCGTGCTCGAGGAACTCTTTTAGATCGGTGATCCAATTGTCTTCTACCGGTTGGATCGGATTGACCGGTAGGCGATGGATGCTATGTCTCGGGATCACCAAAATTCGTGTTATCTTCGACATATGTTCCGGGGCGTCTTGAGCCAACTTTGACAAGATATCTGCATCGGCGTTATCCAATCGGGGTATGTGTCGGACGGTATACCCCCGGAATTGTGCGAGCTTTTCCATGGCTAGGTCTCGGTATAGCTGTAGACGTTCTCCAATGACTTCGTAATCTCCGAGGACCTGCCCGACCACAAGCGCGGAATCTGTTTGTGCTCGAATGTATTCAGCTCCCAAATTCCGAGCGCACTGTAAGCCATTGACAAAGGCTTCGTATTCGGCTTCATTATTGGTCGGATGGAACTGATACATAAGAGCGAAATAGACTTTGAATCCTTCCGGGCTCGTGACCACCACTCCTCCTCCTGCTCCTTTCTTGCTACTCGACCCGTCAGTAGCCAACGACCACCACTCAGCCTCAGGATCCGCAACCTCGGGGGGTCGGGTATCCCGGGCGATGCACTCGACCAAGAAATCAGCAAGGGCCTGACCTTTGATAGCTGGTCTCGGTCGGTATTCGATCGCGTACTGGGTCAAAATCAACGCCCACTTGACTAGGCGACCAGATGATGAAGCAGTTCGGAGGACTGGCCCGATCGGTTGATCGGTCAACACGCGAATTGCTCGACCCTGGAAGTAGGGAGCCAACTTCTTCGTGGCAATGTACAAGGCGTAGACGACCTTCTCTAACCGGGAGTACCGGAGCTCGGGACCATGTAGCGCGTGGCTTACATAGTACACCGGTCGCTGGACCCCTTCGGGATCGGTTCGGCACAATACTGCGCTTACTGCACGATCGGAGACGGCGAGGTATACGTCTAGCTCTTCTTCGAGCTCGGGCTTTGAGAGCACGATTGGTGACTTGAGATACTCCTTCAACTCATCAAAAGCCGCTCGGCACTCTTCGTCCCAGACGAATCCATTAACTTTCCGTAATACCTTGAAGAAAGGTAAAGCGCGCTCGGCTAACTTGGAGAGGAATCGGCTGAGTGCTGCCAACCGACCGGTCAATTGCTGGACTTCCCGAACGGTAGAAGGTGATTGTATGTCCAGAATCGCTTTTACCTTGGCCGGGTTGGGCTCAATTCCTCTCTTAGTCATCATATAGCCGAGGAACTTGCCGGTCTGAACCGCAAATGTACACTTGGTCGGGTTCAGCCGCAACTGGTACTTCCTCATGATCTGGAAGCACTCCCGGAGATCCCGAGTGTGGTCGGATCGGTCCCGACTCTTGACCAGCATATCATCAACGTAAGCTTCCATCGTTCGGCCCAACAGATCGGCAAAAAGCATATTGACCATTCTCTGATAGGTCGCTCCTGCGTTACGGAGGCCGAACGGCATCACTCGGTAACAATACAGCCCATCCGGGGTCACGAAGGCTGTCTTGCTCTCATATTCATGGTGCATCATGATTTTATGATAACCCTTAAATGCATCCATGAAGCTCATCAACTCGGCCCCGGCCGTCTCGTCGACCATCTGGTGGATACTCGGTAGAGGATACGGGTCGAGCGGACAGGCCTTATTGAGGTCGGTGAAGTCTATGCACATCCTCCAAGCTGGGGGCTTTGGAACGAGAACAATATTAGCTACCCACTCGGGATAGATTACCGGTCGGATGTGCTCGATCGCCGCCATCTTTTTAACTTCTTCCCTGACGAACTCGCGGCGATCGGAAGAAAGGTGCCGGGTTTTTTGCACGATCAAAAGCTGCCGCTCGGGCAACTTCCTCGGGGTCCTCCGCTTGGGCGGGAACCTCGGCCGCTTGCTGGGCCTGCCATGGTGCCTCCATCGCATCATCACCCCCCGACCCCAACCGCGAACGAGCCGAGCGTCGAGCCCGGGAAGCGGACTGACGCTGCGGCTCTACCTGTGCGGTCGGGTAAACTGGAGGGGCGGCGGCTGGAGCCGTGTACGCAGGCGTATATGGTGGATATCCAACCGGGGGAGTGTAGTACATCGGTTGGCCAGGCCAGTACCCATACGGCGGAGGTGGGACCGGGTACGGATACTGACCGGGATACATCACCGGCTGTTGTTGATGCGGCTGACCGGGTGTTGGATATCCCGGTTGAATGTAGTTCACCGGCTGTTGGGCAGCCGGGTATGTGTTGAATGGATGTGGTGGTGACAAATTAAGATTTAAGTCCACCGTCTGACCTTGCTGTTGGGTAGCGTGGTGATCGGATGAACTCGCTGCATCCACCTGATCGTCGGCGAAATTGTTGTATGCCCACGGATACATCGTTGCAAAGGAACCGAGTGCTCGTCAAGACGTTGCTTTCTTGTACGGATCCCCACAGACGGCGCCAAAGTGATACTGCTAATTCTACATAAGCAATATTTAAATAATACCCGAGACCAACTAAAGCGAGTAAATATCTTTATTGATCACGGTAGAGGCCCTAAGTACAATCTACTTGGTTGCTCTGAGTGCCGACTACTGCGGTCGGGATTCTCTAATAACAATCTATCGATCGTCCAAAAGTCCTCCACACTGTAGCTACTGTGGGTATTTATAGCCGCTGCGCCGGAGACACAAATCCGGTCGTTCGACATGCTCTCCACGTAGCCACCACGTGTCATCCTCCCGGGTGCCCTATCTGTCGCCACAGAGAGCCGCCACGTGTCCTTTATCAGCTCCCTCGCCAAAGGGCTACCGCTCGAGGGTCGACACTACCGCTCGGGCAATTCCCGGTCGCTTCCCGACCGGGTTCTTCATAAAAAGCCCGACCTGCTACTTGCAAAGACAAAAAGACAAAGACAAAGGCACTTCGGTCGTGGTAAAGCTATGGCGGTCGGGATATTCCCTACCAGGACCAAATTGAGTATTAACCCTTATATGTATAATCAAATCCTATATGTGTGTTTTTAAAATGTTGTCAACCAAATAAGAAAAAATTCACTTTTGATCCCTTGACTATTGTACATGTATCAAATTAGGCCCTTAACAATTAATTTTTCAAAGAGAAAAATTTCAATTTTGGTCCTATGACTATAGGGGATTTGTTAATTTCAACACCTGACTTTTAAAAGTGTCAATTTAATACCTTGATTATGTAAGTCAGGTGCTAAAATTAACAAAGTCCCTATAGTCATATGACCAAAATTGAAATTTTCTCTTTTTCAAATTAGGTGCATGACTATGTAATTTGTATCGATCAAAATTTAGTTCTTAACTATAATATTTTCAAATTAGATTCATGACTTTGTAATTTGTATCACATTTGATCCTGCCATCTAATTTGCAGCCAACTAATAATTTTTTGAGTAATAGTTAACCAAAAATACTCTTTTAATTAGAACATATTATTTTTTCTGTTGAAATTCCGACAATATTTGACAAAAAACTTGACCATAAAATTAAACAGCAAAACCAAAAAGTAATACAAATTACATAGTCATGCACCTAATTTGAAAATATTAATACTTATAAACCAAATGTGATACAAATTACATAATCATACATCTAAATTAAAAATATTAATTATCAAAAACCAAATTTGATACATGTCCGGTGAAATTGTTACACCAAACAACAATATATGACTTTCATTCACATTCTTTGTTTCGAACTCCATTAACCAAACTCCATGTACTACATTCCACTTAAAAAGAATACAGATGTGAGAATCAAAATTATTTGTTGAGAAGAATGAAACAAGAGAATTCTCATTTCTCAACACGAAGCTGAACCACTTGACAAAACTTCGCTACTGCCATCATCATCTTCACCAAAGCGATAGTTCTCATGTACTTGAAGCAAAAGTTCCCGACAAGGTACAACTGCACCAAGCTTGATGCAAGCAAGGAAAGCGCCCGATAGCTTTCGGTGGAGACTATATGCTTCCTCTGGGGGAGGTGTTAGCCTGTGCCTCAGCATAGTAGCCCCGAGATTTGAAATGCTTTGTATTATATTGTTAGATCGAAAATCATAGCCTCCCATCTTTGAAAATGGCAATCCTACAACAAAACCGGCCTGCACGTGTGTATCTATCATTACATCCGACTCTTCCCCTGTCAGAAACCCAAGCCTCTTCGACATCTCAATCACAGCTTCACGATCGCTGTTTGCACAAGCAAGAACCTGATTCGTTGAAACATGAGCCTCTCTCTCAGTACATATCTTCTACACAATGTTGTCTAAATCTTACTCAATTCAAATTGTAATCTAATATTAGTGCAGACAAATTACAACCCAAGAAAACAAAAGGTAAACAAACAATAGCAAGAAATAGAGTGAATTCTATTTTTGGTCCTACTGTTATAGGGGCGTTACCAATTTCAGTCCACTTTAATTTTTTTTGCCACTTTACAACCACTGTTATTGAATGTGTTCCACTTTTAGTCCACCGTTAATATTTTCGTCAAGAGGCCGTATAATCAAAGGGTATTTTGGTCTTTTTATGTTTGTCTCTTCTCTTTTAATCCAGGTGCATCGTCCTCCTCCTCCGATATTCAAAGATGGCTCTTCGAACAACGAGAATGGGAAGCCAAAGCTACATCGTTTCGTTCGTTCCAACATGGCCGACGAGGTTTCGTAGGTTTTAGGTTTAATGTTCTCATTTCTTTAGTCAAACATAGTCTTGGATGAGAAGAAAGGTCAAAATACCCTAGATTATACGGCCTCTTGATGGAAATACTAACGGTGGGACTAAAAGTGGAACATTCAATAATAGTGGTTATAAAGTGGCAAAAAAAATTAAGGTGGACTAAAATTGGAAACGCCCCTATAACAGTAGGACCAAAAATGGAATTCACTCCAAGAAATATTTGCAACTTTAATGTTTGATTATACGAGGGAAGTATAGAAAATTAGAAATAAATCATAGATTGTGTCGCAGGAACACTTCTGACAAAATAAAGGGCATCTTACCATTCTTAAATAATCATCAACAAAATGCTTAGGGTAGTCCCGAGCTGCTCCAAAGTCTATGAGATTGATTGATTTTGATGGCTCATCATAAAGAAAATTGCTCCAGTTGGGATCTGTCTGCTTCAAGTTATTCCAACAAGAAACACAGGTAAGCATACAAGGACAAGAAAGAACTTAACTCGAGTGAAAAATACCACCAATCCACCATAAGTGTGGTCTGACACTTGACTTATTACTCTTACCACTTTTTCTCACTTATGGCAAATCATAAAAGTCAAAATTTATCTTAAGTTGAAGCCTATTGGATGAGGGTATAAATACACAGGGTTCATTGCTCAATATACACTTGTAGAGCTAGAACTAATCAAACAGATATCTATTTTACATTTTGAGACATGAAGGAGAAAGGTTGACCAATTGGACAGTATATACCCAAAGGAAAACTTGCCTGCATGAAACGAAAGATAAACAGCTCTTTCAATGTGAGTTCAAGCAATTTTTTTCCAACATGGTTGCGAGTTTCTTGGTCAAGCAATGCTACCTTATCAATTGGAATTCCTACAGCAAAAGTAGATGAAACCACCTCAGGAATATTAAAAGCATTCTACCAGATTGATATCGAATCTAAGACCAAGGAATCCTACTAAGTAGGAATTAGTTTCATCTCAATGCCAGGAATCTCATTATCAACTAACAAGAAGAGTAACCATGAATCAATATGCAATTACCTGGGACAAGTTCTGAAGTTAATACTCTTTTGCCTGACAACTCATCTATCACAGCTGGAACATAGTAGCCAATTTCTCCACGTAGAAGATCACAAAATGTTTTCTGATTTTTTGCTTCCAGCTCATAGTCACATTCACGAGAGAGTTCCTCCTTTGCAACCTAGTGAACAAGCACAGGAAAAGTTATGGTTTTCAAGAACACAACTGATCTGAAGAATGACAAGAATTCCAAAAGTGTCAAAGATGAAAGTTCCATGAATTAGAAATGTTGGTTACCTTCATAGCATTGTCAAGGTACATCTTTTCTGGGATAAGATTAGTATACGTTAAAAGACGTTTTACATTTTCAATATCGCTTTCAATGCTGTCAGCAACACCAGGGTATTGTATTTTCATTGCAACCAGCATACCGTCCTTTGTGACAGCCTTGTGTACCTGAAATTTGTGTAAGAGAATGAATATAAAGATACCTTTCCAATCTTCAATACCTCAACAGTAGAAGGAATTTTCCAAGTGCTTTTAGCTTTGGCCTTTGGGCAACCATAAACAATTTTGGGAACTCATTTAATGGGATTATCCCAAATGGCAAAATAATATTGAGTTAAGAGGGTTGAGGCATTCGTATATTTACCGGACATATATTAGCCATGACAAAATGGACGTAGCTAGAAAATGGAAGATTCTAACAAATCAACTACCGACTACTACAATCTAAGACTAGAAAAAGGTCATGCCTAAGTATAGCCATTACAATAGCTTTCTAAGTACTAGTATTGTGGAATTAATCAAAAAGAGGAATATAGCTTTAAAAGGAGTTTCAGAGATGGGCTAAGGAACCTGTCCGATACTTGCAGCTGCCATTGGTTCATAATCAAAACTTTTCAGCTTAGATGACCAATCAGTGCCTAATTCAGTGTCCAGAACTTGATTTAGTTGGCTCCTTGGCATCACATCTGCACCCTGACGAACAATTTCCAAAGCAGCCAAGATCTGCCATCACACAAGAAATTCCATTATTGTACTGTAATAATATCACCAAGGCAATAACAGTGTGCAGCAAAAAAGCTTAATTTCAGCAAAAATTTTGATGCTACTTCAAAAGGAAAGGGCCAGTAAATGATTATTTTCTACTGCTCCTCTCAATCTAGCAATATAACTCCATAGCATTAAATCAGTTGCATATTGGTTTCTCAAGCAATACATCATGTCAAATTCCTTCCAGAGAAAGGGGAAAATAGAATCAAAAGGATCTTTCACTTAAGATATATTGAACAAGTGATTTCCCTTTGAAGTCTTGCAAAGTATTCAGCACCATTTGTTTTAATAGGGGATGAAACAAATTCCAATACTTGAACCCAAGCTAATATGAGCTCATAATTCATAATTATGCAGTTGATTCATTATTAGAATCCATTTCCCAGCCACCTCCTTTCCACAAAGGATAATCTGAAAAATCATCTCTGTTTTCCCTGTAACATTTTCATCCCTTGTGCGTTTGAATTGTGCGTAGCAGTTTAAGAAATAAATGCCACTCTTGAACTCCAAGTACCCATCTCAATAACAGCATCGGGATCATTTGGTCTTTTGAAGCAAATATATGCATGACACAGGGAGTACTTGTTGCCTGAATAGATTTTGTATCTAACAGAAATTCCCTTAGTGGTATCCTAGATACACACAATTTCCCATACATACTACAATATAAGTATGAACTGGAATATTTACCGGAGCAGGTATAAAAGATTCATCTTGAATGCTCAACATCTGCCCCAGTTTAAGAGCTGCTCCACGCATTCGGCACAATGCAAGGGCCAAACGCTCTGCATTTTTCTCGGATAGGTAAGGAGAAAGAACATTTTGATTGTCCTGTGCGTTTGGGGAACCAAAGACAATTCTCTTTGCTGACTCTTGAAGGGTTCCCCATGCAAGTCCAGCCCCAAGGCCTGCAAACCTTCAAAGGAAACAGAAAGAAGATCAAGATATAAGACAGATTCAATTCAAAACAAGTAATGTGCATTCAGAAGCTTAAAACCCAAAGTCTCATAACAGAAAGAAAATGCTCTTTGAAGGGATGTCACTCAGTTTCGTCTTTTTGAACTTTGGCATCATATTAGGTGGCCACATTGGACTTGAACTAATCTAGAGAGTCGAACTATAATTGAATACTAATTAGGAGGAAACTCTCCCAATTCTCTTCTTCCAAAAAGTTGAATCCCCTATCCCAAAGGCCCCACACCTTGTCTCCCAATTCTCCTCTCCTAGAGGTTGAATCCTAACACTAAAGGGCCCACACCACTCGACAGAGCATGTGAGATGATTTAAATCACATTAACCGGTGCGGGGATCTGCCCACTTTGAACATAAACCTCAAACTGCATTCCGAAAAATTGATCTTTTCTCCCAAATAATGTATACTGAGATAGTTAACTAAGCCCGTGCGGGCAAACTCTCCCAATTCTCCATTCAGTGGGTAATGGTGTACAGAACAGGAGGAGTCTCACCCAAGCGCCCTAGAAAAAGGAGTAGAAGGCACCCTCCTCTCCCTAGGTTTCCTTTGTTGCCTCTTGATCACTCCTTCTTGAGACGCAGCTCCACCAGCGGCGATATTCCGTTGAGTAGAGGCTTCATCCTTCTGAGACGACAAACAAGGATCAGCGTCGGTGGATGTGGCAGCCACTTCTAGAGGCGGAGACACAGAAACCTCCGAATCCTGGGCAATGACATCATTAGAATCAGGAGAACACCGGCTTTGATCTGGTTGAGGGGAAGAATCCACGAAGTGCACGACGCTTTGTTTAACAGCATTAGAATTAGGTTTGGAATTAGGATCAACATCTTCGAAACGCCGAAACCTGCCTTTGGTGAGGCCGGTTAGATCGGTGGCGGATAGAAGGGCGGTCTTGATTAGGGATTGCAAATCCGTACCGTCACTGAGCGGTTGCCGGCGGGCAGCCTCTTTGGCCACCAAAGACAACCCATTTACCACCCTAGCTATGTCATTCACCTTCATATTTCACCAACAACAACAACTCCTGCTAGGGCTGAGTAAGAGAATGGAAGCATGCAATCACAAATGAAAGAAAAAACAGAAGATCAATGCTACGCTAACCAAAATCATTCAATTCACAGCTTCCAATTCAATTCAATTCAATTCAATAATATGAAGCTTGGATTGGGGATGCCAGTAATTATTGGGAGAGGATCTCTCGGAGCCCTATTCCTGCAGCCGTCGCTAGACGACGTGGCTGTGATTTTCCCACAGAATGGGGACGAACCGAACTGTTCCGTTACACTTTAGGACCCTTGTTTAAAATAAAATTGTTTGCGCTACTAGCTTATTTTGAAAACATTACCAAACAGAGAGCTTATTAATAGCTTAAAATAAACTATAATTTTTTAAATAAGCTCTCTCAAACCGAGCCTATAATTACCTGATTGGATCAGTAAATTTGATTAATTGATAGCATTAATTAATTATAGAAAGATATTTACTAAACATAAAATGACTTTTTTAAAAAATTGATCAAAAAAACTACTTTGCGCAACTTTTTAAATTTTAGCATTTTAGAGCATCCACAATGGTTGGGGAGAATTGGGGGAGGGGGGAATGTAAGAGTGATTAGGAAAGAGAAGATGGGAGGAAAGAGAAAAAAGGAAAAAAAAATTGCAAAACAGAATTTTATTTTTTTTTTAAAAAGTGAATATTTATGATTGTCAGGCGCGTCAAACGCGCCCAGGGGGCGCGTCGCATTGGTGATAGCCACGCGAGGCTGTCACCACCGGTATAAATTGTGGTAGGACCCACAAATTCTGAATTCTCCCCAACATTTGCTGGAGGAGCTCAAAAACCTCTCACCTACACTCTCTCTCTCTTCCATGTAGATAAAATTTTCTTGTACCGTGAAATCTTCTTTGGTGTGGATGCTCTTAGAGTAATAATGTGTTAAAAAGACTAATTAATCAAATACTTATATTGATTGTTTAACTAACACTTATATTGATTGTTTAACTAAGTCAAATTGTTAATAGTGGTCAAATAAATTAAAATTGACTTATAAGTCAACTATGTTACCAAACATGACTAATAATATGCTTTTTTTTTTCATTCTTTGTATAAAAGTAACAATGTGTCCCAAAACTTAGCATAGTGATTGTTGTCTTATTTGATGTCATGGAGTTTTTGAATTACTCTATACATTTTTTTTATGCACACATGAAAATTAAGATATTACTGGTGGATTGAATGCGTGACTCGTAATTTACCTTTACAGTGGTTATAAAAGTAAGATTCTGTAAACTTAGAATTAGTCTAGTAAATCTGAAATCACCTAAGTATAAAAAAAGAATTAAAATTAAAAAGAGATAAATAATTTGTGATAATGGTGAGTAAAGTAGATATCGATGATAATAAGTACAATTACGTTATGGGGTAATTAGGTGAGTAGTGATGTTACAAGTAATTATATTTTGAGTAAATACCCAAAATAGTCCCTTGACTATAGTATAATTCAGAAATTGATCCTCAACTATTGATTGAATCCAATTAAGTCCTCAACTATTCAAAATTTACCTAATTAGGTTCTCCGTCTAAAGCCTGTCAACTTTGAGGTCAAAAGCGTAATTTAATTATCAAGTCAACGTCCAAAACCACCCTGCAACCTCGCTGCTCTCCCACTCCACCTCTTTCGCCGCCTCTGCCACATCGCCCACCTCTATCTTAGCCTCTATGTCTGCCACTCCTCTTATCTTCTTCCCCATTGCCTCCGTCCTTTCCTATGATGTCGCCTCCCTGCACCATCCCAAGAAAAAACGCAAATTTTCTTTCAATTATATTGTTGTCCGAAGCTTGTGTCTCTTCAACAAAACATGAAAAAATTTATGGTTTTTGTCAATAAGCCAGGGGTGCCCAGAACTGCAAAAGCGATATGATCAAGAAAATGGGGAGCACTAGTGTGACATTACTCGCATCCCAATCTGATAAGGCCCCTTTTTCTCTCTCTTCAATGCTTTGAAATGCATTATTTAAACTTGAGGTGCTTGTATTGTGAACCTTTCATTTCCGTTGTTAAATCGAATTTCACTGTGAAGATAGTCATTCATTTTAAACAAGTTTCTGAAGACCAATTTTGATAGTCTGTAGTTTGGAACTGTATCTACAATGGTGGATGTGGAGGTGGGCGACATGGCGAAGGCGGTGGAGTTGAAGAGCACCGATGTGGTGGGACGACAAACAATAGTACGACGACGTATTTGATCTTAATTTTAGGGATAGTTTACTATATAACCGAGCATCTTATAAAATTATGTTTTTGACCTTCAAATTGACAGGCTTTAGACGGAAGAATTGACAAAGGACTTAATTGGGTAAATTTTAAATAGTTAGGGACTTAATTGGATTCAATCAATAGTCGAAGATCAATTTGTGAATTATGTTACAGTCGATGGACTATTTTGGGTATTTACTCTTATATTTTTGTTATGTAAAATAGATTAGAAAATTGGGGTTTTACTAAACAGAAAAATGCATAGTAAAATTATCTCTATCAAGTTGAAGTGTGCTTGATAGTAGATACTCTCTTAAATTTCTGGAAAGGTTTTTACTTCAATCTTTGTCCTCAATGTTGCTTCCAAACTATTAACCTCTTTTTAAGTATCATTAAGACTTTGGTTTATATTTATAGCCACATTTAAAAGGCGGAGAATACTTCTTATCCTTATTAAATTTCTCCTCCCGTATTTTCTCTTTTTAATGTGGTTTCCATTAATTAGGTGTTTATGCATTGACTGATTGCACCACTAATTAATAAAGAAAATTATTTAATAATCAAATCAATAAGATGATGTCACATCATAAGAGAAATAAGGCTAAAGTGTCATCCCGCACCCTGAACCATAAGTGATTATTCATACCGCACCCTGAACTTTGATAAGTGCTAATTCGAACCATGAACCATAAAAAAAATTTCGCCTAGACTATTTTACAGGTTTTCTGGTTTCCTTGATGACATGGCACCGGTAATGCGTTGATGTGGACTTATTTTTAAAATTTAACACGCATTTCAAGGACCATGTGCTGATGTGGACTGAAGGTCATCCGAACACTGATCTTCAACGCCATCTATTTCTTCCTGCGACCGTCGCCGGGAAGTTTCGCGACCATCTTCATATCAACGTCCATTGTTTCCTTTAGGTTTACAACCAAGGGATATTTCCCCTTTCCAATGACACGATTCTTCAAAAACAGCTACGATTTACCTCCGTCTCCGAACGAAACCTTCATTCTTTGGTGGATCTTCATTCTCCGATTCACACCATTGGTCATTCGAAAGTGTATGCTTCTTCACTCCTCATTTCTCATTTCCTCATTCTGTGTTTCTCTGCAATTGCGTAATTCGTTCATTATACTGCCTGTCTAACACACACACACTCTCTCTCTCTCTCTCTCTCTCTCTCTCTCTATATATATATATATATATATATATATATATATATATATATATATATATATATATATATATATATATATATATATATATATATAGAGAGAGAGAGAGAGAGAGAAAGAAAGAGTGCATGAGAGAGATGAAGAACAATAGTTGTGCTAGAAAAGGAGGCAAAATGGAGGATTTTCAAGCTATTCACAAGCCTCCTGGGTGGTGCACGACAGCAAATTATCATCTACGGTGGAGGGATGACCGGAAATAATGTCGACTGAAGAACACTGTACACAACGGTGCACCTTCTGGGCCAGAACCGCCATCACGTCGCCGCCGCAATGGGTGCACAGAGACAAAAAGATGGAGACCTGGAGCCAATGTCATCAACGTAGTTCTTGTTCCCGGTGATCTTGGTCTTGGTAGGGCCATCGCCGATGAAGACAACGTGGTTCATTTTCTTTCGAACAACCACGTAGTCATTGTACACTCCAACTAAAGCTATGCTGACCAACTAAACAGTCACAACTCAGAAATAATATTCATATACATACATATATACTTATGTATATAAGAATATCAAAGAGTTGCGGACAGAACATCAGATGCATGCCTATGTAAAACTCTTATTTTATTTGCATGAATTTAATTCAGCAAGAATTCCATTGGAGTATATAAGAATATCAAAGAGTATTTTATTCTTTGTATAAAACCATGGGCGTCGGCGTCCATTCAATTTTGCCGGAGCTGATCGAAACCTTGCAAGAATTCCTCAAGGATCAAGAATTTCACCGCTTTCGGAAGGAAAAAAAAGGTTGGACGAAGCTTAGCGGTAGGGTGGTTTCTTCTCCCATGTCTACCGGTGAGTTGTCCTTTCCTCCAACACTCCAGCGTAGCAGGCGTAGAAGAAGTAGCAGGTAGGCAATTTGGGTGGACGTCAGCAGCGGCCTTCCTCTTCTTCTAGCAGCGACAAGCAGCAGTAACGTAGCTTGATGGACGGCGGGGCAGGTGGAGTCGAGCGGCGGCGGGTCGTCATAGTCGGAGCTGACGGCGAAGACGGTGCAAGTCAAAAATGTTGAGAACGTAAAAAAAAAAAAAAAAAAAAAAAAAAAAAAAAAAAAAGCTGCCATGTCATATTTTAATATAAAAAAAAAAAGTCTCCACATCAGCATATTTTAACCTGTAACTTGATGTCAACCTGTAAAAAAGTTTAGGTGAACAAAATTTAATGGTTCGTGGCTCGAAATAGCACTTATCAAAAATCAGGGTGCGGCATGAACAATCGCTTATGGTTCATGGTGCGGGATGACACTTTAGCCGAGAAATAATTAAAAGGAAATAAAAGTGGAGTATGTAACATTACTCTAAAAATAATTATCCATTGAAGATATTGATAATTTCAAATATTTAACTTTTCAAGACTTCTTACAATTTCTTCGTAGTTGTTGCAATGAGAATCGAACTTCAATTATTCCTAAGATCGTTCCCACAAATAAGTTCATTTGTCACTTGAGCAGTTGAACTACACCTTTGGGTTACTCTTGAATGTTGTTAATTGCATGGTTGATTCAACTAATTATATAGATTATCTCTTTTAATATCCTCCATAAGTCTCTGTTCTAATTTGACTAGTAACTTTTTTTTAGAGTAAAAGACAATTTTGGTCCTAGATTTATAGTGGCACGGACAATTTTAGTCCTTAATAAAAAAAATCAGACAATTTATGGACACTCTTATTATGACGAGGACAATTTTGGTCCTCCGTCTATATTTCAGTTAGATGGTCGTCTAATATGAGGGCAATTGCGTCAATTCACTCTATCTTCTTCTCCAACCTTCACTTCTCTGTAACTTCATCTTAATTTTTTAAAATGAGAGTCACGGCACCAACCTGCAAATCTGCAATCAATTAATCTACAGCGAGCGGCCATGGATGTTCAGATCTTTGGCCTGAGCAAGCTGTTGTGTTTTAGTGTGTTTTTGTTGGTGTTTGGGTTAGTGGGTGGCACAGCATTGCTCAAAAACCCATCAAGAAATCTGAGCTCCGGCGCTCAGATCAATTCCAACTCGGTGTTGGTGGCCCTTTTGGATTCGCACTACACGGAGTTGTCGGAGCTGGTGGAGAAGGCGCTTCTTCTCCAGACTCTTGAGGAAGCTGTTTCCCGGCACAATATCACCATTTTTGCGCCCAAGAATGAGGCTTTGGAGTGGGATTTGGACCCGGAGTTCAAGTGCTTCTTGGTTCAGCCTGGGAATCTCAGGTCCCTGCAGAATCTGCTTCTCTTCCACATGATTCCCACTCGCATTGAGTCCATACAGTGGCCGAAAAACTCGCGGCGGGGCGGCCGGAATCATATAACTCTGTGCCGCGACGCCGGCGGGGAGAATCTCGTTCTGTCGGAGAGGGAGGTGAGCGGCGCGAAGGTTGTTTCCCTTGACGACGTCGTTCGCCCCGACGGCATCATCCACGGGATCGAGCGCGTGTTGATCCCCAAGTCGGTGCAACAAGATTTCAACACGCGGCGGAGCTTGCGGTCCATCTCTGCCGTCCTCCCCACCGACGCACCGGAGGTCCATCTCTTGCATTCCCTAGACCAAAAACCTCGATTTTACCGCATGGGTTTCGGAGAATCTATACAAGCTCCTCACCATTGTGCTCCTCGTAGCCACCGTCGCCGGTTTATTCTATTTCTGCAACGCCGCCGAGGGCTCAGACGCCTTGCTGTGCATTGAGTCCACGCAGGCGCACTCTGTTAAACCCCATATGCCTCAGATCAACTGGAATGACATCCCTGCAATCCTAGATAAGTCTTCTCCCTGATATCCCTATGTTAAACTGCACTCTGTTGAACATCCATGACCGCTCGCTGTAGATTAATTGATTGCAGATTTGCAGGTTGGTGCCGTGACTCTCATTTTAAAAAATTAAGATGAAGTTACAGAGAAGTGAAGGTTGGAGAAGAAGATAGAGTGAATTGACGCAATTGCCCTCATATTAGACGGCCATCTAACTGAAATATAGACGGAGGACCAAAATTGTCCTCGTCATAATAAGAGTGTCCATAAATTGTCTGATTTTTTTATTAAGGACTAAAATTGTCCGTGCCACTATAAATCTAGGACCAAAATTGTCTTTTACTCCTTTTTTTTAGATTTCATTTCTTTTTATCTCCTTGTTCTCTCATCTCTTTTTCATGTAATCTTGATTATTTTTTTACTTTTTACATGTTTAAATAACGTAAAAGTTTGTGGACGTAAATAATTTTTTTTGTATTAATAGATTTTCTAAAATGATACGGAGTACATGATATATATGATATTTGCTTACATTTGTTTGAAATTGTTACACTGGATAAAAATTATGTTGTAATTTTTCTACTTATAATAAATAACTATATAGTACTAACCCAACAATCATTATTGTGTGGACCATATTTTATATACTGTAAAATAATGTACATTCAGTATAAAAATAATGTACATTCAGTACAAAAATAATGTACATTATATTCAGTGGATATACATTATTTGTATACTGAGTATACATTATATTGTATAATGTACATTCAGTACAAATATAATGTACCTTTTTGTTATGGCATAACATTGTGTGGACCATGGTTCACACAATAATTTGCCCTAACCCAATGAGGTAGCTCAAGTGACAAATGAGCTCTCTTTGTGGAGAAGAATTTTAAGATATAACCCGAGTTTGATTCCCACAAGTGACGAATCCTCTTGGGGTAGCTCCCGTGCCTCAAGATTATATTCAACCAACAAATTGCCATTGATGAAGAAGATTAATCGTAAAATGTGTCTCAATTGACCTACATATCCCTAAATGCTTAAGACTAATACTCACATATTGATTACCGAGGAGATTTAAAACTACTAAATGTAAATTTTCAAAATTTTCGTTTTTCAAGATATGAACATCTCTTACTGTTTGGCAATGCATGTGCCTGAGCAATTTTCTATAAGGCATCCTTCAACCTTGGGGGCAAACAAGATGAAGAGATGCCTGGGAAGACGAGTGGAAAAGAATGGAGATAAAAATCTATATTAGTGTAAGTGTTACCACGGAGTTTTTCCTGGACTTGCAGAAGGCGTGTAGGTGTTGTTCATCGAACGTCCCAAAACCAGATAGCTCGATGCCAAATACTTCCATCTTGTGGATATCCCGCGGAATTGGTGACTGCCATAGACCATCCCACCAAGCTGGAGGGAGAATTGGTGTGTGGGCACATTGGTTTGATTGGTTTCGGCAGCTCAACGGACCTGCAAATCTGTTCCATACATGTCCCCAACCGATCTGGTTCCTCAATCCATCTGAGAGCAAGCTACTTTGAAAGCTACTTAGGAAGGTGAAGCTTGAAGCTGCTGCATCGGAAGTATCATCTAACAAAAAGCAAGAACAAATAAATAACTAAACCAAACACAGTGAAGAAAATAATTTCACAGAGAATAAATTAACTGATTTGAGTTACCAATGCTATTAGCTGCCGCAAGTGCTGCAATCAGCTGAGCATAGGTAGTCCCAACACGCCTGTGAGCCCCAGATACAACCGCATATTTTGCCCGTGAAGCAAGAAAGAAATCTATGAAGGCAACCCACCTGGGTGCTGGACCCCAATCTGCTGTTCTAAAGTTTAAACTATTACCCAAGTCTATGCCGCCAGCAGATATGTTTCCTTCAAAACGTTCGTAGTCGAAGTTAAGAACCTAGCAACAACAAATAAAATACTTCAGCAATCATAGTTCCATTACGAAGACAAAGTATGATACTAAAGTCAACTTGAGATTTACGACTATCAGGGTAAAAATGTAAAATAACTTGCCTCTGCAAACTCATTCAAGTACGAAGCAATTTCTTTCACCAGAGGAGGTGTATCTGAAACTACAATGATTCTGGGTCTCGATAGCAGCTTAAGATTATCAGCAGCTTTTCTTGTGCACTCCAGTGCTGCCTGAACTGCTCTGAAAGACCTAAATAAGCATACAAGTGCCCACATAAAATCAATCTACTAAGCAACTAGTAATCATTGTAGATAAAACTTTATCATACTCTAGTAAAACAAGAATGATAAAACCAGCACATAACTATATATTCAATACAAACCATCTTCACTGTGTATCAAATATGTTCCTTTATTCCCAGTAAAGGAGCAGCATGCATGTCCTGGCAACATTACTTGCCGAAAATTGGAACAAATAATAATAATAAAAATAAATAATATAATATAATAATAATAATAATAAAAGTCATCTGCTGAAGTAGGCCACTAATAACAGATGCAAGGAATTCTTTCTAACATTCAAATTTAAATAAATCCTGTCACTAAACAATGGCCACACATTAACAAATGATTATACTACTCTACCTGTTCACGAGCATCCGCATGTGAAGGGCTATATCGGGGTTGGGACTGCCTTTAAGGACTGAATTCACTGCCTGTTCCACAACTTCTGAGGGAGATATGAGAAATCTCATTAATTCACCAAATACATTTGGTCGATAATGAAGATCCTCTGGCTTCCCAAATAGATCAGACGCAGCCATTCTCATCTCATTGTGTATATTCTTTAAGAAAAACTGAGCAGCGACAGCATCTGTTGTGTTCTGAAACCTGATGCAGATGAAGTCAAATGAATATTCTTACAACGATTTCATTTATATTTATTCAAGCTACATGAATGACAAGATCAATCAAAAGTGAAGAAAATGCAGGACACCTATTTATTCAAACTACATGGATCAAGAACATGGCTGAAAACAGTAATTCTATATCGAAGCACAATGAAGCAAAGTCAAGAATTAATTAATTGCATCCAAGAAAACAAAGATTGAGTCATTTAATTATTTATTTTATTCTTTCTAGTTTTAAAGAAGTAGCTAATCCTAGCAATAGTAGAAAATTTGGGAATGCCTATAAAATATTTTTCTTGAATAAAATTTTAGCCTTTTGCTAAATTATTCCACTTGTGTGAGATTAATCATGAGTTTTTAAGATATATCAAAACTTGATTCTCATGGAAGCCATCACTATCCTTGGATTCCCAATATTTGGAGGAAAGGTTCTCAAGAGGTCTTCAAGTAGTAAACATCTTTTCATTAAATTTGTGAGAAATCTAGGTTGTTGGGTGAATTACGCAGTGCCCTAGTTAGTTCGCATATGTTGTTTCTCTCATCTTGTTATATTTTCGTTGGAAGGTAGAGGAGAAATTAGATGCGAATATTACCATATAATAGGTTGTTCCCATTCCTTCCAATTGCTACAGAGAACATTGCTTCGTGCAGGCTTCTGGAAATCGTCTATTCTCATCACAAGATGCCGTTGGTATTTTGTCAAACAACCATTCTGTCGCCACAGATGCTTGATTTCATTCAAGGTGAAGGTAACATTGGAGTAAGAAATGAATTGCCCAAAAGGGTACTTGCGCCTGAAGTTGCAAACACAAAAATAAAACTGTAAATATCTAGTCATATTACTATAATACACCATTTATAGAGGTTTTGTTACTAGTGTAGCTGGATTCCAATGTTGGGTTTATAGTTTCATTACCCTCCTGAAAGGAGCTTATCTAATAATCACAGGGGCGCATAAGAACTTAGCCAGAACTTAATATCAGAGAAAGGAAAGGAAAGGAAAGGTAAGTTGAGGAACAAATAGGAAATAAGAGTTAATACTCAATTTAGTCATCAAATATAGTAGTTTTTCTCATTTTATTCCTAAATAATTTTTGTGCTTAATTAGGTCCTTGACTTTTATGGTTTTACCCAATTGAGTCCTCAGCTGTTAGAATCAAGGACTAAATCAAAAAAAAAAAAAAAAAAAAAAAAAATTCATTATAGTCTGCCTAGGCGGGGACTAAATTGGATATTAATTAATAGAGGTGAAATTACTAAGCTATCTCAACAAATGATTCAATTGAGTAAAAACCATCAAAGTCCATGACCTAATTAAGCACAAAATGTAGCTTAGGACTAAACCCAGAAAAACCAGATCGAAAATAACAATGCAAGTGAAACAGATCGAAAGACGAAAGGATTGAGAGATAACCGATATGCCTGGTTTGGCCAATTATCAGGGAGCGGTTCAACATGACGCTAAGAGCAGCTCCAGTTAAGATCTTGTACATTTCGTTCCCAAACCCTGCTTCTGAAGCTTTGCCCAATACAAAACCATGTCTGCAGAACTCTTCCGGCGCAAGTTCTCTCACTCTCGCAGCACCTCAGGTTTTCAAATTAGGCCACTATTAGTTGCGCAATTTATACATCCGACTTCTCAAATTGCATTAATCCATACCAAAATCTATCTATCTATCTATCTACAATTATATTTTTGGAACTTAATTGCCGAAATAAATGAAATTAAATGAATCCTGGCTCGACATACCATTTATGGCGAAGTGGTCATGGATGATTTTCCTGACTCTGAGGCTTTCCTCGCGAATCCCTCTGCTAAAGACCTCCCCCATCTCTTCAACCGTCGCACATGTTTTGTTTAGCCCCGGTGTTCCTTCCTCTGCCTGGTCTTCATGGATGTCGGTGGCGGCGGCGGCATTGATCGGTAAGTCGGTGGATAGATCGACGGACCTTAAGGTGAGGATTAACAAGCCAAGGAATGTGAAAATAGCAGTGGCTATGAGGAAGTGGTGCATGGCCAACTGCCGTCGCCGAGATCCGACTCCGACTCCGACGGCGAGTCTCATTTCCTTCGGCCGCATGAGCT